TCCCGAGCCCGAGCCGGCAGGCGGGCGCGCGCGCGTGCGCGCGTGTGGCCGAAAACAACACCAACATTTGGTGCATAGCTTTGTGCTTGTTGTAACCTCTCCAACTCATTTAAGAGTCCAATATGGGATTAACTCTTGACCCTTCAAATCTCACAACCAACGTTTTACGTGCCCTTTTATGGCTAACTTTAACAATTTATTTCTCACTCACCGAAAATCAGTTTTGAGAAAATAAATATACCACGAGTATCTACTCGGAACGTAGAATTTTTCTACAATATTTAATTCAACTAAAATTAAATATTTAGCCATCAAAAATTCAGTCAAAATCGGGTCAAACCCATATTTTATAACTGATTTTTCCAACAAGAAATATGTGGAAGAAAACAAATTTATTTTAGGAGTGTTGAATGATTTGTTCATTTATTTGTATTTAATTAATTAATATTAGTTATTAATTAATAATATAAGATATGATGGACATTGGTGTATTACTAATTTGCCATTAAAAACATGTCAAAGTAAGGGTTTTTTAGGTAGTTCGTTTTTTAATTAAAAATATAAAATATGATGTGTATTATTAATTTGACATTAAATTTATGTCAAAGTAAGAGTTTTTTAGGTAGTTAATATTTTTACAAAAACACTCGTCCTTTTAAAGTAGTATAGATAGATAAATGTTATTAAATAATATATCCATCCGTCTTATACATTACAACAATTTTAATTTAATCATATAGTTTTTTTCTGTTTATCACTTCCTATAATATCACTTCTACTTTTACATTACATTAACTATAACCATTACACTTAAACTAGTACGTAACCCGTGCGATGCACGGACTGTATTTATTTTAGAGAATATTATAATTTGAAGTGTATTAAAAAATAAAATAGTGATATTACATAGGTAAATTGTGAAATCATAAAATATTCATCATAAAAAAAATATATTATTAAGAACCTTATTGTACAATATTATTAGTTTGATTACTTGGCAACTTGTTGTCCCCAAAAACTAATATTTTAAATTCATTTCTATTACTTCCATGCGAAACAACAACATATAATAGGCGTGACTAAATACTAATTTATTTAAGAAAAAAGTCAAAGTACGATAAAATCTGACGCTGATTTTTATTTATTGTAATGACATAAAAAACTATAAGTAAGAACAGATGCCGTTGGAACTTAAATGAAACTCGAAGATCAGAATAATCTACTTATAATATGATAATTTACCTGACAATTCGACAATGAGTTGTTAGTTTATCATTTTAATATCGATTATACTTAATTAGCGAAATAATATTTATCATTATTTTTATAGTTTTATATTTCATTATAAAAGAAAATTAAACATGTATAATTAAAATATTAAAAATACCTAAAATATTATATAACATGTGTAATTCGACATTAATTCACGTTAATTTTTTTAAATCGAACAATTTTTAATTGGACCACTGCCCTATTATATTATATGTATGAATATTTTTTATGTAGTAGATTTATATATATATAGAGTTTTTGTCTAGCAGATTTATATTTTTATC